AAGACAAATCCAATCTGTCACGTGTCCAGCTCCCTGATTTTGCTGCTTTCAAGACCGCCTCTTCACCTCGGCCTGCTAAACAAAGGTCTCTTCAAATTGGGAGAGGCCGTGATGCAACACCTGCCTCCAGGCTGAAAGCTCAGATGTCAGGGCTTCCCATCTGTCGAGGTCCATTCCTAAGGCCTTCAGATCCCACTGGCAGATGTCCTTGTATCGCAGCTGTGATCTCCCTCTGGGGCAATTTCCCTGCACTAATTCTCCTTACAGGAGATCTTTTGGAATCCAACCATCAGCCATTCTCACGACATGCCCAAGCCAATGTAGACATTGCTGTTTCAGTAATGTATACATGCTAAAAATTCCAGCTTGATCTAGGACTACTCTATTTGGAACTTTGTCCTGCCAGGTGATACCAAAAATGCGCTGGAGGCAATGCATATAGAAGGTGTTCCTCTCCTGCCATGCACAAAGCATCCAGGACTCACTGCAGTACAGGAGTGTCTCAGGACACAGGCTCTATAGACCTGGATCTTGGTATATGCCGTCAGCTTCTTACTGAGCCATACTCTCTTTGTGAGTCTAGAGAAGATGATAGCTGCTTTGCCAATGCTTTTATCCAGCTCAACATACAAGGACAGAGTGTCAGAGATCGTTGAGCCAATGTACACGAACTCATGAACAACCTCCAATTCTTGTGTGGAGATGGTAATAGAGGGAGGTGAGTTCACACCCTGGCACATGACTTGTGTTCTTCAGGCTGATTGTTAGTCCAAAGTCTTGGCAGGCCTTGCTGAAACGATTCATGAGTTGTTGGAGGTCTTCAGCAGAGTGGGGAACAATGGCTGCATCACTGGCAAACAGGAAGTCCCACATGCATTTCAGCTGGACTTTGGTCTTCGCTCTCAATCTAGAGAGATTAAAGAGCTTTCCATCTGATCTAGTCCGGAGATAGATACCTTTTGTTGCAGTTCTAAAGGCATGCTTCAGCATGAGAGCAAAAAAATCCCAAAAAGGGTTGGTGCAAGGACACAGCCATGTTTCACTCCGCTTCAGATGTCAAAGGGATCTGATGTTGAGCCATCAAAAACTACAGTGCCCTTCATTCCCTCATGAAAGGACCCAATGATGTTAGAGTCGAGGTGGACATCCAATCTTGGAAAGTATTTTAAAAAGGCCATCCCTGCTAACCAAGTCAAAGGCCTTTGTGACAACGTGCTTATGTTATAAGAAAACAAAGGCTCCTAAAAAGATGCATACCATCACTATGTCTATACAGGTGGTTCCACAGTAAGGCCCCCACCTTTTTACTATTTATATAGTGTAATACAGGACAATCTGAAGGATTATCCTGATGGAGATGGGGTAGTAGTTCCAGCACTGCCAAATTTGTTCACTCAAAACACAGAGACTAGACAAAAAGGTGCAGGTTATAGGTGAAAGTATTTGAGAACCATGAGTTTAGCCAGGAATGAAGGGTGTACAGTATAGTTTGTAATGGTGGTGGCTGAGCCTATAGGACTTCAGAAAGGCTGGAGCAATACCCACTTGCAGGATTGGTCTACCAAGAGTTAAGTGGCTTGAGACTTCCCAGAACTCAAGACTGACAGCTATGAAACAGAACTCTTTTTATTTTGCAAAAAAAAAACAAAACCAGGAACTGCTATAGTTTGTTTCAGGTCTATATGCTCAGCTTGAGAACTTCTGCTCTTAGCTGCTACATCAGGATAGCAAGATATGTGTAGACCAGATCAGCCATGCGTACAGCAATGCTTGAGGATTCTTTATTCTACCACATGTAGAAACTTCATAGAACAGATGTTCATCATATGTAAACTGTTTTAATTTGTTGCCAGCATGTTTTGTATTACAGTGCAGTAGTGGAACTAGGGCTCACAAAATCAAAACCCTAGACTTTCTGATTAGCAGAGACTATGACATTATGTGCCACCCTTTTAAACTTTCCTCCGCCGTCAGAACTTAACTGCAATACTGGGAGTAGCTGGGAGAGAAGTAGATTTTGCTCCAGCTTCCAGCAATTTCTCTGCTCCTCCTGTACATCAGGGTGGTTATAGAGACTCTCACAATATGTACCTGAACTTTCCAAACAACAGGACTAGTGATTACAGCCATCACATTTCTTGATGGCTAGTCCTTTAAACACTTTATGTACATCAGCATCCTACCTACTTCCAAATGCAAGACAACAGTTCCCAAAACTTTCATAATCATGCCCTTTTTAATTTCTGAGAAATTCTCACAAGTCGCCCACACTTCTTTATGATGACCCAACCTCACAACAAAAAAAAATATTTTATGGTATGAAATTTGTTAATAAAGTGTGTTCAAGGTCATAATTTTTTTCCATTATGGAAATCTCAACTGCAGACTGCTCCTGAAATTTCTTTATGCCTCACACTATTTGAGCACCAAAGCTTTAGGATTATATTCTGCGTATCTAAAAAAAATAAACTGTAGTCTAGAACAGTGTTCCTCAGCCTCAGGGTTCAACACCCAAGAGGGTCATGGGCAGCCTTTTATGTGCTTTATCCATTGATAAAGAACATCTTCCTTGACATTTCAGAGCAAGATATTAAAGTTTGTGTGTAGGTGTACAAACACAAACCCTTTTTTTCTGAGAAGGGATTATTTTACCCCTTTGAAAATGCCTTTGTTATCCAAATGAGCTGGGGGATGCAAGTTAGTTGGCTATTATAATAGGGGGTCATGACTCGAAAACGGTTGAGAACTACAAGATTGTGCTATCTGACAGAAGACTTGCTGATCCCAGGACCTGTTACGAAGCGCACAACAATATGCTGAAAGAACTATTGTGTTACACTGTAGATTAACTATCAACACGGAAGCGATCATTAAAAGGTACAGCCCATTATCACTTTGGACTTACACTGTTTAAACTGTGTTTCACGTGCATTGTTGCTGTTTTACAATAGCTGTCTAAAGCAGGCTAGTATCACTTAAGAGCTGTTAGCAGATCAGGACATTCTAGCTGATGGGTCACTCACCTGTTGTTTTAATTTTCCACCCACATGGAAGCAACAAGTTCACAGTATACATACATGCCATGTTCAAACTTGCACTTTGCATGGAACAGCTTCTTATTCTTAGCACAGACTAGGGACAGCTAGCACAATACAGCTGCAAAACAGTTCCTGGGCTTGTTGAACTCCTCCACCCAGCTCATCACATTTTAGAGATAAAGAAATTCATTCCAGCTGGAAAAATAATTGGGCCTCTTCTTGCCACCTCCACTTAGCTGCAGAATCTTGTTTACCTATTTGGGTTGCTTATGTAAACTAGAAAGCAACACCTAAAAAATTAACAAACCTGCACCATCAAATCAATTCTGACTTTTGCCAATCCTTTCAAAGGTTTTCCGGGTAGGGAACATCCAGCGGTGGCTTACCAATTCCTCCTTCTGGGGTTCCCTGGGACTGTGCAGCTTGCCCAAAGCTACACAGGCTGGCTCTTCTTACACGAGGCACAAACTCCCAACCTCTGGCTCCGCAGCCAGAAATCTAAACCACTGAGCTATACAGTCTGCTTTTCACTCTAACTCTCATTCATGGCATATTGGTGTCTGCAAAACCAGTCTCTAGAAGCATCACCATCATGGTGAGGAAGCCCCATGACAACAGCATTGGGAAAAATCTTTTTGTCTTTATCTTTTTCAACCATTAAAGCTATTAGTTTACTATAAAGCAGTGACTTCGTTCCTCCAAACCTGATTGGTAAAGCATAGAATGGGTCAGGTCTCAGCATAATTACAGTAATGCTGTACACCAGGTAAGACAATAATGCTGGTAAGAGCTGAAGGCAGCAGGAAAAGAGAAAGACCAAATATAAGATGGATTGACTCATAAAAGAACCCATGATTTTTAGTCTGCATGATCGACATAAGGGTGCTAGAAATGTGCTGCTTTAACAATACAGCTTTTGAGATACTGTTACTTTATTTCATAAACTGGAAGCAATCTGACCACATACTGTACATTAAAATACAATGGAAGGGAGACATTGTGGCCCCATAGTTGTCACTGCAGGACAATGCACACCATTCCTGAACATACACTATGCTCACCAGGGCTGACAGACATTTGAGTCCGATAACACTTGAAGAATTACACGGTCCCTACTTACTCAGAAGGGAGCTTGCTTTCAGGTAAGCATCCTGATCTGCAGTCTATTCCTCTCCAAAGTACAAGGCACGGACATGGTGAAATTGACAGGTGGGAAGGCAATCCATCACTGATTCCCAACCAGATGTTCCTGGACTACAACTCCCAGAATCCCTTGTCACCACAGCTAGTGGTGAAGGATTCTGGAAAATGCAGTCCAAGAATCTCTGGGGATCCATGGTTGCACTGCAATGAACCGAATGGGAGATCATCAGGTTAACAGAGAAACTGGGGGCAACTGCAACTGCATCAATGAGGACTAGGCTGCATTATAGACTCTTTCGAAAACTCAGTGAAAACCAGCATTGCTGCATGAAATCTAAGTCAAAAGCTGCATACTTCTGCAAACCAGTCAAGGGGAAAGTCTACTGTTTCCCTATCCCAAGCGGGGCCTCAGCACAAGCCCTGGTCGAATCTAATCTTCCCCTTGTGCTCCCCTGCCTTGAAAAGAAAAACAGACAACTTCAGTCATCACCAACACGTCCAGTGGCAGCAAGTTCCACAGGCTGCACAGCGCTGGACCGGATTGGGGATGCTGGGATCATAAAAACCTCGCTCCAGAGATCTTATAGGAAGATCTCACTCTCTCCTCCTGGCCTACCTGCAGGGCTGTTGTCGGGAAAAGAGCCTACTAAAGGAAAAGCGTGATATAAAGCCATAAGGTCACCTGGAAGGGACTTGCTAGGACGCGGGATGATTATCATCAGACTTTGGGAGTGCGGGTTTCGAAACCGTCCCTCAAGAGACGTCGTTTTTCATTGAGGGGAGGGGAAATGGGACAGGTCTTCTCCACAGCCCTCTTACCTTTTGGTCGAGATAACAGGTGCGGTAAGCCCAGGAGCCGGCAAAGAAGCGGCCCGGGTCAGGACGGGAGGCGGCGCGGAGGTGAGGGCGGGCGAAAACCCCCCGGGCGCGGCTGACCGAGGCCACCAGGGTGAGGCAGAGAAGCGCCAACCGCCACACATCGCAGCCCCTCATGACCCACCACTGACAGCCACCAAACTGTCCAAGCCACAGCCGCTCCTTTCTCTCATTTTTATACCTCAATTTCGCGAGGGCGGGGGGAGCGAGGCGGGGCACGAGACCACACCTAGCTCCGCCCACCACCCCGGGAGCGGCCAAAGGAGCCCGAGGAGGCGGTCCGGAAGGCGGGGCATGAATAATTAGATTTTGACGGATGGAAAGGCCAGAGGACGGTGACTGAGGGGAGGGCGGGAGTTCCCCGCAGATCTCCCGCGGATTGGCTGAGCCGGAAGCAAACGACACCCCTTCCTTCCAATGCACATCGGGCTTGGTTTATGCGGCGAAAAAGACTGGGCGACGGGTGGGGAAGCCCGGAGTGCGCCGATTGGCTCAGAAGCGATAAAGCAGGAGGAGGGAGCAGGGATTGATTCTGAGGCGGGAAAAAACGTCCCCTGTTTTCAGAGGCTTGAGTGGGGGTGGGGGTCGCGGGGGCTTCCTACGCCTCAGGCGACGTCGCGCGCTGATTGGTGCGCGAGGCCCCGTGACGTCACTTCCTGATCGACGGAGATGAGGGTCTGTGAGGCGAACGGGGCGAGGGGAGATGGGCCGCTGCCTTAAATACGGTTTAATGGCGTGGGGGAGTTGTTTTTTTAAAATGCCGGAAGAAAGCTGGTGAGTCTTCAATTTCCTTCACCCTCTTTGTTTCCAAAATTTTAAAATATATAGGATTAATTAATTCTGCTCTCGCTCCAGCCTTTTCTAGACTCTAACCCCTGCACCATACTGCCCTTGCTCCAGCCTATTCCTTGTTTTAATTTTCTTTTTCATCCTTTCTATGGGCCAGCCTTTTAATCCTTTCTATGGGCCCAGAGTGGTCGACCAGACCAGATGGGCGGGATATAAATCAAATAAATAAATAAACCCCGTTCTCCCGGCCCTAATATTGTCCCTTAGTTCTTCCGTCTCCTCAATTTCGGGCCAAGTGCCAGAGCTTGTTAAGAACTGAAAAGCAGATCTTCTCCCCTGTTGCTTGAGAAAGGTGGCAGGCTGTGGCTTGCTGTTGAGCAGAGCTTTCAGCAAAACATTTATTTATTTAACTTATATGCCGCCCACTGCACTGAAGCTGGGCCTCCTGATCGAGGTGACCAGCTAGCAAGCCAAGTGGTGTGCTTTGGAATCCTCCTACACAGCAGTGATTCCCAAGTGTGGGCTCTTGGACTACCACTCCTTTACCACTGGCTGTGCTGGCCAGGATTTCTGGGAGTTGTAGTCCAGGAACATCTGGGGATCCAAGGTTGGGAACCACTGCTCTACAGTAATGATAAGCGTTAAAGTGCAAGTAATTACACAGTTTCATGCATTCCAGTTCTGTCTCAGTCGCTAAACTTGGCTATGGTCATCTCTCGTCCAGTGAATTAGTTGTTAATTTATTAACACCCACTCTGTTTCTCATGTTATTCATCTGATAAATCTTTCTAGCGCCTCTCCCATGATTATTCTCCATCTTGTTCTTCAAAGAAGTATTGCAGTAGATTTTATTTGTCATAACAAACTATGTGTTCAAGGAATGAGAGCATGCATTTTTTTTAAAATAGTCGCCTCTGTTTCTTTTTGTTCTCCTATCCAGTGAAGTACTGCTTCATTCTTTATTCTGTCTGTCCATGCAATTCTTCTGTATGCTCTCAGTTCAAAAGGATTTGTTCTGTGGAGCATCTGCTGTTTAGAAGCCCAAAGCCTCACATTCAGATAGGAGGGTTGATCATATGTAACGCTTTAAATAACATTTAATTTTTTTCTCTCTGAAAATTCTGTAGCTGTTGGACTGTTTTGGGAGGAGTTTTGTTTTTGTTTATTTATGTGTGTGTGTGCATGGCTTTAGTTTGCATGCACTTTGGCAAACTCATGTAAGCATGTCATGCCCACTTAGTATTCACATCCGATTTAGACAGCAGAAGGAACAGTGATGAGATTAGAAGTGTGATGATGCAGTTGGCATGTTAGGCTATTAGTGCAAAGACTCCAACTCAGATCCTCAGTCATCTGTGATGCTTGCTGGTTGGCCTTGGGCCACTTGCCATTTCCGAGGCTATTTGGTTGAAAGGGTCAAAGTACTGTATGTGTGTGCTTAAAAGGAGCCTTGAGTTAGTAATATGTGTTGTAAAACATTATAGTTTTCTTTTGTTACTCAAACTACAGCCATGGCCAAAAATATTGGCACCCTTGCAATTGTTGCAGCTGCAAACGTAATTTTGGCAGTGCAGTTTTGGGTTTCTGTGTGGTATTGTATCGGAAGCTATGGTTTTTCCTGTCATGATGTATGGAAGGGAGAGCTGGACCATAAAGAAAGCAGACCGCCGAAGAATTGATGCCTTTGAATTGTGGTGCTGGAGGAGGCTCTTGAGAATCCCCTGGACTGCAAGGAGAACAAACCTATCAGTTCTAAAGGAAATCAACCCTGAATGCTCACTGGAAGGACAGATCCTGAAGCTGAGGCTCCACTACTTTGGCCATCTCATGAGAAGAAAAGAGTCCTTGGAAAAAACCTTGATGTTAGGAAGGTGTGATGGCAAGAGGAGAAGGGGACGACCGAGGATGAGATGGCTGGACAGTGTCTGCGAAGCAACCAACATGAACCTGACACAACTCCGGGAGGCAGTAGAAGACAGGAGGGCCTGGCGTGCTCTGGTCCATGGGGTCACGAAGAGTCGGACACGACTAAACGACTAAACACACACACACATTGTATCGGATTTTACTTTTCTTCTGTTTTTTTGTGTGTGTTGTTCCAACGCAAACCAAAAAATGAACATGCAAGTACCAAAACATTTGCAACTGCAACAATTTTCTGAGAGAAGGGTTGCATTTTCTGACAGAATTGCAAAGATGCCAATATTTTTGGCCAGGACTGTGTGCCTTCAAATACCTCTTTCTGGACTGACTCCAAGGAAAGCTACCAAGGAATTGATGGATTTCACAGGGCGCTATGGAATCCCCACTGCATTCCAAACGTTTTTGGGAAGTGTTTTAGTCTGGCTTCAACCCTTTCTGGTCTGCTCTGCTTCTTTACAGGAGATCCACCAACCAGGGTAAGATGCAGAACTGTGGTTCAAGAGATCTAATCACCTACTGTACCCTACGAATTATTTGCTTGGATAACTTGTATATACAAGAAGTCCGGTAGCATAATTTTGCAAGGGAAACTACACAGTTTTTTATTGACATTAGTAAATAATAGTTCTATTTCCAATTGTTTATTCACCACAGACTTACTTGCAATTTCCCAGTACATCCCAATCTTCATTTCCTCCAGCACTCGGAAATACTCGGAAATAAACTCAGATGGCATGCCCATTTAAATGGTTACAACCCCCTCTTGTGGTTGCATATCACATAGGGATATATATATATATATATGCTTCCCAGAGCTGTTTTGAGGAAGAAACCATGTATACCAACTGCCATGAGCTCCTTGGAAAAGGACTGCAGCAGAAATGTATAAATAAGCAATCAACCCAGCAATATATATATAATTTGCTTATTTATAATTTCTGCTGCAGTCCTTTTCCAAGGAGCTCATGGCAGTTGGTATACATGGTTTCTTCCTCAAAACAGCTCTGGGAAACAAGTTATTTTATTTATTTTATTTATTTATTTGTTTGTTTGTTTATTTATTTATTTTATATCCTGCCTATCTAGTCAACTCAGGACCACTCTAGGCAGATAACAAGCAAAAAATAATGAAAGAAAACATATATAAGACAGCATACATAATAAAAACCTACAAAGATAAAAAACCAGTGGAGAGGGGAGGAAAGGAGCGTCAGGAATTGTTTGACGGGAAGGCCTGCCGGAACATCCATGTCTTCAATTGATTCTTGAAGATACCCAGCGAGGGAGCCCCGCGAATCCCAGGAGGTAGATTGTTCCAGAGGCGAGGAGCCACCACCGAGTTTTGACAGCTGTCAAAAGTTGGGGGAAAAAAAATTCACCATTAATTAACGAAAAGTCAGATCAAAGCCAAATTAACTTTTGCATCCGGAAAAGGACTGCAGCAGAAATGTATAAATAAGCAATCAACCCAGCAATATATATATAATTTGCTTATTTATAATTTCTGCTGCAGTCCTTTTCCAAGGAGCTCATGGTGGTTGGTATACATGGTTTCTTCCTCTAAACAGCTCTGGGAAACAAGTTAGGTTGAGGGATAGCAACTTTTTGAAAGTTACTCATGGGGTTCATAACTAAGCATGGATTTGAACCTAGGTCTGTCTTTTGCAAGTCCTTTTGCACTCTGATTTCTCCATCTCACTGACACCTTAGAAACAGGCAGAGAAACCCTGAAAGCAAAAATGTCACTAGAATACCAGTGCAGCAAATAGAGAGAATCCATCAGAAACAAGATGCTCTGCCTAATCAAGTTCGTTACTCATGGGGTTCATAACTAAGCATGGATTTGAACCTAGGTCTGTCTTTTGCAAGTCCTTTTGCACTCTGATTTCTCCATCTCACTGACACCTTAGAAACAGGCAGAGAAACCCTGAAAGCAAAAATGTCACTAGAATACCAGTGCAGCAAATAGAGAGAATCCATCAGAAACAAGATGCTCTGCCTAATCAAGTTCTTCCTTTCTCAAAAGCTATTCCTTTGTAATGTACCCTAATACACATACAGTATTCCTTCCAAGACACTCTTACCGTTTTTTCTTTGCTAATTAATCCAAGAATACTGCCACACAGCTGGTTACACAGTCACAAAACACTAAAGTTTGGTAGAGTTTCCCTGCAATGGAAGGTAAATTAAACTGATATGTACTAGATTTAAGCTCCAGCACTTGTAAACTGTCACTGCTTGGGGGGGAGGAAGCATACACGAGGAAGAATATATTTTGAGAGGGGCAAAATGAGCAAAACAAAGTAGACAAGTTTTCCACTTTACACAGAAAAATTGGCATAGAAAATCTCTCATACAGGTGTAAAGTGAGTATTCTCATTTGTTGCTCTTATGTGCCGTTGAGTCTACTCTGACATATGGTGACCCTATGAACGAGCAATTGCCAATAAGTCCTGCTCTCAACAACCCTGCATAACTTCTGCAAACAAGATTGTGGCTCTCTTTAGGAAGTCAACCCATCTCATAGCTGGTCTTCCTTTTTTCCTGCTGCCTTCCGCTTTTCCCAGCATTGTCTTTTCAAGAGAATCCTGCCTTCTTGTGATGTGCCCAAAGTAGGGCAACCTCAGCTTCCCCAGTCCTGGCTTGCTTGCAGTGGCTTCCAGTTGTGTCCCAAGTCAAAGTATTGATCCTAACCTATAAAGCCCTCTGCAGTTTGGGACCACATTATCTGTCAAAGCATCTTTCTCCAAAGTCATCTGCTTGCACCAGTTTTTCTGTGAAAAGCTGACCACTAGATCCTCTCAGGCTAGGCTCCTCCAGGTGACTGTGCTAAAGGAGACCAGGAAATCTTTCACAAGAAGACCTTCTCAGCAGTGGCACCATCTCTGTGGAATTTCCTCCACTCTGGAGCTACACCTGGCCCCTCTCTATTTTTAAGAGGCTTCTCAAGACGCTTCCCTTTCAAGACGCTTTCAAAGGCAGCTTCTTTTGAACTCTTCTGCCCCTGTTCTGCTGCTCTAATTCTTTGCACCTTCTGAGCTTCTGCTGTGTTTTTGGTGGCTGTCTTTGCTTTGTGTGTGCTTTTTACTTATTTTGTTTTATATAAACTGTCCAGAATACTGCTGTGTACTAATAGGGCAGTATAGAATGTCCAGAAATCAATCAATATGTTGCCTCAGAAATCATTCAGGCTTGATTTGATCTAGGACCCATCTGTTCATCCTTTTTTGGCAGTCCAGGGTATCCGCAAAGCTCTGCTCCAGCACCACATTTCAAATGAGTCAATTTTTAAAAAAAACTTGTGAATTATATAATAAATCCTCATTGTTATATTTTTGGTGTTTTATTGCCACAGTTAGGTACTTTCTAAGACAGATTGTGTTTTCAGAACTCAGATGTTTATTTTGTGGTCTGTTTCAGCAAGCAGGCCCTCAAGGCATTACTGAATCCTATGGATGAGTAAACACACAGCAGTTCACTTTCGCTTCAGCTTTGGAAAGGGCACCCAAGAGTACAACTCTGAAATGTTTAAAACACTATTTCTCTAATTTCTGAGGACTTATTTATAGACGCCTCCATGCAAAGTACAGCCTTCCAGATGCTGTTGGACTCCCATTGGTCTTAGCTGAGATAGCCAGTAAGAGGAAATACTGGGAGTTACAGTCAAACAAAATCTGGAAGATCACATTTTGCCTACTAAATTTTAAATTGCCTTTTAGAGTAGACATGCAGGTCCACCCAGCATGTCCAATGGTAACAGATAGTGGGAATTGTAGCTCAAAGCATCTAGTGGGCCAAAGATCCTTGTTTTCAAGAGTGTTGGAGGTAATTCTTGCTAGCTAATTTTTCTGCCCTGTGGAGAGAGCACCATCTGTGTTGACAATCTAATTAGAAAGGGACATACACCAAACAATGGGCAAATTTCTGTTCATGCTGGTATAATGTATAGTTATGCCAGTGCAAACATGCCAGGCATTAAAAAATGCTCAGCGACAAGAAATTATGCTATTCAGCAGTGCAATTGGTTGGGTGTCCTTGGCATGCCAGTGGAGCAATGCACTAGCAGAGGTGCTTCATGGAGAGGACCACCACCTTAGTGGTAGCACAGCGACTGCAGTTGCAACCTCCAGTTGCACATGTGTAGTTTTGCAACAGGATTTTAGCCAGTAACTCACACAGACAAGTGAGAGACAGCCACTTCTGGGATTTATTCTATTGTATTGTTGCATCAAGGATAATTGAATGAGACAGTTACAGCCAATATGGATGAATATGGAGCTCCTTGCCACAGGATGGGGTGATGGCATCTGGCCTTGAAAAGGGGACTGGACAGATTCGTGGAGGAAAAGTCCATTGCTCAGAGTGGTATAAATATACCAGATGGGCGGGATATAAATCAAATAAATAAATAAATAAATGTAGAATCTCCAGGCTTAAAAGGAAGGGACCTCCAAATGCCAGATGCTGGGGAGGTAGATCAGGAGACAGGTATTTAGTTGTCCTGTGTGCTCCCAGAAGTGGGGAGGTGGATCAGGAGACAGGTATGTAGTTGTCGTGTGTGCTCCCAGAAGCATCTGGTGGGGCCACGGTGAGATACAGGAAGCTGGACTAGATGGGCCTTTGGCCTGATCCAGCAAGGCTCTTCTTATGGTCTTATGGATAAACTTCCTGCTCAAGGCTGGCTGGAAGGAGGCAGGTGTAAAGGATAAGGTACACAGGATTATTTGAGATAAAGACCTTTTAATCATTCCATCCGTTTCCTTTTATCTGTGGCAGTCTAGCATATCTGTCATATTGTGCAGTTTGGGAATTACAGTGGACCCTCTACTTAAGGAATTAATCCATATTGGAACGGTGGCTGTAAGTCGAAAAGTCTGTAGGTCGAATCTCCATTGACCTACAATGCAATGAAAACTGATTAATCCCACAACTGGCAGTTTTTGTTCCATTTTTGTAATATGCATTGGGTCTTGATTTCTCAGTCAGTTGAAGAGTCTGTGACAAGAAAGAGAAAAGAGATGTCTGGAGCCTGCACACAATGAAAACCATACATGTGGTGATACAGATCAGCAAGGACATGCTTACAAAGCACAATTGATTTAAAAGAGGTGAGTCAGCAGCACATTTGTGAAACCTTATTTCTCCTTCAGATGTAATAGTATTCACATAGATTCAAGTGACAAGCTACTATCACAAAGGCCTGCCTTTCATGTTGCATCAAACGTCAAAGACTTCCATGTTAAGAACTATCCCCACTGTGAAATTGTTGGTCAGCAGCCTGGTATGTCTAACAATGAACTGTCGTGTTTCTTGGTAGCTAACTTCGGGAGCACATGAATGGCAGACATCTATTGGTTGCCTCTGTAATTTCTGTCCAGAACGCCAACTTTGTTTATCCCTCCTGTCAAAACTGCTTTTCCAAACTACTAGTAGATTCGAAGAGGTAAGTTCAGTCCAGAATATTTTTGTGTTCTGAAAACACCCAGCAGCTTTTACCAGGTTATAATATAGCATGGTATAGGTTATGGCATAACCCATAACTGAGAGGGAACTGATTTGTAGTCTTTACTGCATCAAGAGGACACCAGCTTAGGAGAGGGGGTAGAGGTTATGGCATAACCCGTAACTGAGAGGGAACAGATTTGTAGTCTTTACCGCATCAAGAGGACACCAGCTTAGGAGAGGGTAGCTCTACGAATTTACTGGGTGTGCCTTAAATTCTCTAAATAGAGAAAATCCTGCTGCTGAGAAAGCCAAGGTATGAGAAAAGTAAAACGACAGTTCAGTGAATCAAAGCCCCAAGAGTGGCCGTGGTGCTTGGAGCTGTCAAATTCACATAAAGATATTGTCATATACTTCAAGCAGCTTTTTATGATCTTATGCCTTACAGATTTTAGACTGCAGTTCCCATTATCCCCAGCCAGCATGGGTATGCTTGCAATTTTGTAGTAGACGGGACAGTGACATCTCAAAAGTGCAACACATCAGTGAGCTATTTGAACCAACATGCAGCATGAGGCTAACATCCTTTAGGGATAATTTATAATTTGGTGATATTGCTTGGATGGGGCTTCTTGTCAGTTATATTAAGAAAAAAGTAATTTGTTCACAAATTACCTTTTCGTGGTTTGGATTTCCTGGACTTAAAGCAGCTATGCAATGCATGGAGTCATTCGGAGAATTAACTAAAGATGATCACTAGAAAGATACAGAAACCATGCTATGTATAGTGTTGGCTATTAAAATAGCCAACACTATGTGTTTTTCAGCACCCTCGTGGGATGACTTAGAACTGATCCCCTGCAAATACGTGTTGTATTTTAGAGTAAGATTGCTAAGTTATCGGATGATTCGCTGTAAGACCAATATGCGTTTATGATCCACATAAGTTTCTAAGCAATTTAGGGTCTTCCTTTTTAAAAAACAGGTACAGTTGCTTAAAATGTGGCTGCACTGGTGATACCGAGGAAGCAAACTATAGATATCGCCTCTCGCTAGAAGTCGCTGACACTCAGGGTGTATTTGAAGTGACAATATTTGGAAGCTGTTTAGATGTTTATTTTGGAGTTACAGCAAAGGACCTACAGAGGTAAACAATTTAAAGTTTTCTGTCTTTTTGGAACGAATCAGCCACCTCCCCCAATACCACCCTATCTGCATATGCTGTGATTATATCTCCAAAAACAGTTGCATTGCATTTTGCTGCTGGGATACTAATGTTGGTTATAGTAAAAGGGGAACATAAATCTGAACAGTTATAAAATGTAAAACTTTATGAAGACCCGTCAGTGTATTCCAGTGGGAAAGAGCCAGACATGGATCTGAAAAAGCTCAAATCCCAAGCTGAATGCTGGGTTTGCTAGTTGGTCTTGAGAAATAATTATCTTCTAATTGTAGCTTCCAGTTTTGGGAAATTTAGAGCACAATTGTGTCCCTTTGCCCAGGAAATTCAAATTCTACATTGAAAATGTCAAAGTGGGTAATAGTTGTGTACCTTTAGATATTTTTTTCCTTCCCAATATTGTCTACGTAATTGAAATTGTTTTGCAGGATCTGAAAATTTCAGTAGCAGGACATGAATAAGTAGCCAGATATGAATAAGTGCTATTTGAACAATTTTGTTTCTATGTTTATATGCAGTTGCTAGTTTAGTATCAATGATAGGATGATAGGATGAGAAACTCTTTCTTTTAAGGAAATTATTTATAAATAGATTCTCAGGAGCAAAGATGCATATTAGGCACAGATAATAGCCTGAAGCCAGAAGAGTCATTTCTGTTGCTGAAGCTAATCAGGTCTGGTTCTCTAATCTGTCTGGGTAGCAGGCTGCCTGGAGGCCACATGTATAAGCTGATCTGCATATTCTGGGTGACGAGGAGGTTGCGTGAGAAGAAGTCACTAAAGAATCGACTTACCTTAAATTTGTGAAATATCATACCACCTCCAGCTTCCCCTGCACTGCCCTTTGAAGATAGCCAGTTCCAATGGTGTCATAAGCAAATGCATTCAGGATTCTTTCTCTTATATAAATCATAACAGGCACTCAGGTTCTGGCTGTGGTCAATTCATGCTCCTTAGCTTGTTTCTTTTGAGGCGTAATGCAGTTCTTTACATGACACTCAAGGTTTTTCCTTTATTTGCAGTGTATGAAGCTGCATTGTGGTGACTCTGACTACTGGTCAGGCAGATCCAGTATTGTCTATTATAACTATCAGGAGCTTTCTGAGGTTTCTGAATTTTTCCCCAGAGCTGCTCCCTGAGACCCACTTTTGAATGCAGTGTGGGAGAAAGGCTGGTGTCTTGGATATGTATTCTAAACTTGGAGCATCTGAGTTTAGCAGCACCACCTCTTGCTGTTTCTGGGTCTTATGGGGCTTCAGGGAAATGTTTGCATTTCAATTAAATGGGCAATGCACTGTCCCAATAACTGGAACTCCTAGGCAGACAACTGTATGTCACACTTTCAGCTTAACAGCACATTTGCGGAACAATCCAGTTGGGTATAACAAGTACCACTATGATCAGCTGGGGTTTTACACCCAGCTAAATAGGAATGTGGTGGCCCAGGGGGTTAAACCACAGAAGCCTCTGTGCTGATTTAACAGCATATTTACAGAACAATCCAGTTGGGTATAACAAGTCCCACTATGATCAGCTGGGGTTTTACACCCGGGTAAATAGGAACGTGGTGGCGCTGCGGGTTAAACCCTCAGAAGCCTCTGTGCTGCAAGGTCAGAAGACCTGCAGTCGTAAGATCAAATCCACGCAGCAGAGTCAGCCTCCCTCGCTTGTGCCAGCTCCCGCCAACTTAGCGGTTCAAAAGCATGCAAAATGCAAGTAGATAAATAGGTCCCACCACGGTGGAAAGGTAACGGCGTTCCGTGTCTTGTGCTGGCCACATGACAACGGAAAATTGTCTTCGGACAAACGCTGGTTCTATGGCTTGGAAACGGGGATGAGCACCACCCCTTAGAGTCGGACACGACTGGACAAATTGTCAAGGGAAACCTTTACCTTAAATATGCATAGGCCTGTACCCCTGCCTGTTGGAATGCAAGCACACTTTCCTTCACACCTGCCTACATGTTATACAGCTGTATAGTCTAAAGTCTTGAAGAGTTACGCGATTTTTCAGTAATGCTTTTATTCAAGGTACATTGAAGAACTGAACAAAGAAACAGGAGAACCAGGCCAGGATGCAACTCAAGGTGTGGTATTCCAAGCAGTGGAAACCTGCTTCATCGGGAAGAAGTTTGTATTTGCAGTTAAGGTACTGAATTCTCCCCTGGTGTTCATCTGTCAGCGTATATGTGATTTAAGAGGAAAAAGGCTACTCTTTTATTGAACTCGGCTTCCACAGATTTATATGCAGGTTTTCAAACTTCACAAGAGTCCCAGCTCAGCTTAATAGAACACTGTTTAACAATCCTGATCCATTTACAGGCTCTTCTAAAGTTGCCCAGTACATTCAAATATCCTTGAATAAATGTTTACTGCTCCCAAATTAACCCCTAAGCGACATAGAATCCTATGCAGACAAATAAGCAGGCTGGCAGAGAAGTACTGGAGTGTTTTATGTATCTGCCACCCCCAGAGTAGAAGTGTAGCTTTAGAAGGAACTCTCGGTTCTGTTCATCCCCAACAGGCTAGTAACAACTTTTTAAGTATAAGTAATTTTGTGGGCTTTTAAAAACCCACCCTGAGGTCTTCTAAGTATGCTGGCTTACGCATATTAGATACAGAGGAATGTGTGGAGGGAATTTCTCCCTTGATGCTCAGGGGATAACTTTGAGATAGTAGGCCTTTTCAGTGGTAGCACCCCAATCCCCATAGTGGAAGGTTATGCCCTGGAAAGCTTGCCTGGTGCCCAACTTGTCTTTTAGGTACAGTGGTGCCCTGACTTACGAACGCCCTGACCTACGAACGTTTTGAGTTACGAACAGCTCCGGATTCGAAATACTGCTTTGAGTTACAAATGGAGCTTTGACTTACAAACGAAAAAAAAGCCTGCCCTTTGTTTGACCTAAGTTCATCTTAGGTCATAAGAAAAAGAAAAGAAAAAAATTCTTCCCCTTGTGATAGAGTACGGATTAACTGGTTTTGCATTAGTTCCTATGGGAACTAATGCTTTGACTTACGAACCGTGCCTTGACATAAGGACAAAAAACAGCCAGAATGGATTAATCGGTTTTCAATGCATTCCTATGGGAAATGCTGCTTTGACTTAAGAATGTTTTGACTTACAGCCACAGTTCCAATACGGATTAAGTTTGTAAGTCAAGGCACCACTGTACTAGGCAAAGCTGTTCTGGTGTTCCCAAGCTTTTGATTCATTTGGTTAGTTTAATGGCCTGCTTAAGAATATTTTTTTAATTTCATTGGTTTTAATGACCCTATAATTAGAATTATGCCTTTCTCTCTTTTTTGTAAATCATTTTGGTTTCCATTTGGAAGAGTGAACAATTCATAAACCCAATAGACTAAACTGTTAAACTAGATCTAAAACGTGGAGTATTAGGGACTTGAACATCCTCTGCTTCATAGTTGGGAGGTTTGGTGCCCTCTTGTGGTCCAGCCAAATTCAATGCAAAAATTTGTGATGGGAATAATATATGCAGCTTTTTTTAAGTGAAAGCCTAATATCAATCAGTTCTGTGTAAGAATGGAATCCATGTATATGACTGCCAGAGTTAATGTCAAGAATTGTTGACTGAGTTACTTATCTAAAATAATTGAATTTGCTGAAGGTACAGAATTACATTGTTTTCTTGCAGGGTTTCGACAGACCAGATGGCACCAGCTCCTTGCAGAGTATCTGTCAAACGGACAGGTATCCCAAGGCCTTCATTGCCTGTCAGATGTTTGTGCCAGACCCTGCGCTCACAGGCTACACTGTTATCCATTACCTCCAACAGCACCAGTGTTCTCACTGCAAGCATGGCCATGCAGGTTTCTGGCCTCCAGATCTTTTTGCAGCATTTGATGAACCAAGCTGGGAGCTCAGTAGCTTGCAAGGCCTGGGTGACTTGAATGCAGTTCCGTCAAGTCCTGCAGGTGGCATTTCATATTTCTGGCCCCAGTCATTTGGGCTGACTTGCTCTTCTATTTCTTCACCAATAGTAGCAGATCCAAATTCCAGCACAACTATCTACGATAAGCAAAAGTGGGAGGACAATCCAGTTTCTACACATGGTCAGTTGACCTACAACTCAAAGGACCATAACCCGATTGTGACTGAGAGAAATGAGGAAGATGATACGAAATGTCATTTGTTTTCTACTCAATGGAACCATGTCAAGTGTGAATCAGAAATCTATTCCTTCTTAAGAGGAGAAGACAGGAGGTTGGTACAAACCCCTTTAAAATTAGCAGAGAGAGATTCTTTCTGCAAAATTGCCATGCAACATAGTTACGGACTTCCAAATTCAGGGAAATCTGGGCCTCATAGTTCTCTTTGTCCCCTCGCTTCACCTTCAAGCCATGCTAGATCAGGTGAAAACTCTCAGGAAGTTCCAGACCTTTGGGATGAATTGCCATCATCAGAAAGTTTAAATGAATTCATAGCCAAAATTGAAAATAACAACATGTCGCCAGCAAAGGCCAATGCAGGAAAGTGTTTCCCTAATAGCACAATTGATGAATTATGTGAAAAGTTGACTCCCCAGCCGGGAATTTTCAGTGCCAGTTTCAAGACCAGGCAATCAGAAGAGATGCTACAGAATCTAGCAGAGAAGGTGGAAACGTGCAAAGAACCTATTCTACCTTATTACCAATCTAGCCTGTTGCCATGTCACAATAATAGCAAATCTCATCAAGAAGCCTTTCACAGTTCTTCGTCCACTAAAGGAAACAAGGAACAGGGGTGTCTATCCAACCAGCATCCTGTCCTCTTGCCTTGGTGCTCTCCAGCTGGGGTTAAACTTTCTCATTCAAATGGAGGTTGTTCATCCTTCAAAGGAAGGGTTGACCAAGATGCCAATAGTTTCACGAATCACCATACTGGCTGCTCTTTAAAGTCTACCAGTAACTGCCTTGAAGACTCTTGTTTACAAATCAAGAAGATAACAGCCCACAATAAAGATCATGATAATCTAGCCAACAGTGGTGGGAAAGAGGGTCATTTCTATAAGCTAAATCAAACTACTGGTCTCACAAACATCCAAGGAGAAAGTTTCAGATCAGCCAGTGGTGAAAGATCCAGTGAAATTTGTGGGGAAAAGAGAGAGCTGCTTTTACAGGCACATGAATATAGTATTAAAGTCATCCAGAGTGGATTGGTCCAAGACAGTTCTGATTGCAAGGAGGGCAGTTACAATGCTTCAGCTGATCTCTTCGATAACAACAGCGGAACAGAAGTCACTGGGGGAAAATTAAACTCATCTCGAGCATTCTTGGCACAAGAAGGTTCAGTGACCAGACAGCATATAAGATTTGAATTCATACCAAATGAGTTAGAGGCTAGCTGGAGTACTTCTGGACATGAATCATCATCCTGCAATATGCTCACTATTTCAGACCAAAAAACAAGCACTCCGGTTTCTAGTTTAAGGCCCAGATCTGAACTCAGTCTCATGGATTCCCCGGATTTCATACCTTATTCCCAGCCCACTCCCCTAGCCAGGCCCTACACTCTACAAGTAAGCTGCCCTAGAGGAAATGAACCCATACTTACTGAATTGCCACTGAATAAGTTGTCTCGGTTAAATGTCAGATGTAGAAGACTCAGACCTCCTGTGGAAAACCCTTTAGTAAAACAGCTTTTCAGCAAGTTCCTGAAGTCCCAAAGGTCGACAACTGCAGATCCTATTATTCTTGATAGATCAGCTCCTCATCAGTCATTTATCAGCAGCAGCCCATTCCAAGAGTTGCCTGCAGCAGCTGGTGAAGACTGGATTCCCCCTTCAGAAAAAAAATGGGTGCGGCCCCTTGCTTTTCAGAAAAGGTTGAAGAGGAGAAGCCTGGGAAGAAATGCTTATTGCCAACCCACTGAGAAGCCTTCTCTTTCTGAAAATAAAATAAGCAGCAAGACTCCAACGAGTTCTAGCAGGTTAATAAGGTTAGAGTTTTCTCCGAAAAAGCAGCCAGTGGCTGAGGATAAAGGTGGAAGCCTATGTAGGCACAAAAATGATGTTCGTGACGGGCAGCTAGTAGGTGTCAATGGACTGAGCCTATCCCCTTCTTCTCACCCAATGTCCACCATTCCAAATTGGTCTCCTGAACTGTTTTAAGAGATTGGCCAGCTACTTAGCACAGCTGCTATTTTATTAAGTTCAGCTACTTGTATATACATTTTCCTTTCACAAACTGACCCATCGTCACAGTTGTGCTTTTGACACATGTTCAGTTCTTTGCAATTTTCTCAGGTGACTGAGGATTGGGAAAATACCTTTAAAAATACAAGTATATACTGGTTGTATTCCTTCTGGCATTTTAAACAATTTTGTCTACACAAGACTGAGCATTACATTCTTAGAAAATGTAGTCCATTTTTGTCTTGATCTCTGGACTTTTTATTTGCAGGTCTTATGCACGAACTGTTCTATTGACCTAATGTTCATCACTTCCAGAAGGGAACTGTGTAATACAGTATATTAGGGATGGGACTTTTTTAATAAACCCATTCCCAGAATTTGACTAGAACCCGCAGGCAGAATTTTGGGAGGGGGAGATCAATAAACAGAAGCAAAATAGACATATCCCTTCCTCCACTATCTGCTTCACTCTGTGTTTCTGCTTTGAGGCTTTATCCGAATGTCAAAAAGAATGGGAATGTAGAACTATTTGTACATAGCATTACGTGGCCTATACTTATAGTAAAGCACATCTACAGAAATTTCTCATTATTCTGTAAGCATACATTGTGCTTTGAAGCTATATAATGCAATATGCAATTAAGTGTATGTACCCATCCTTTCTGAGGTTTGTGTAAAGGTATTAACATTTTATTCATTTTTATAGATTCTTGAAGAAGGCTGTAGAATATCATTAGGCCAAAATCCACCAGACTTTAAAAATAAATAACAAGCAGTGGGATGTTTCTCTTCCATACATGAATTTTGTTTGGATGCACTCAACCTTCCATTATCGTCTTTGCTTAAGTGCCATGAAGACCACTGGTGTTTGTTGAAAATGAACGGCAACACACCAAAGTAGTTGTATGTGCTTCATGAGTTCCTGACATGCCCCACTGATTTTTATACTGCAATTCAGGATATTCTTACAAAATATGGAGGGGCAGCCATGTCATAGCTGCTCTATGATGCCAGTGGGGAGTACTTCCTGTGCAGCTGTGGCCAATGAAAACAGCATCTGGAGCACAACTCTTAAAAACCCATGGTTATGAAACAATACATTGCTGATTGTGCCATCCAATGTATACGATTATAAATGGACTTGGCAGAATGCACTGTGTGGTTGAATTTGCTTTTCAATGCAAGAGTCTCTGTATTACCCAGATTGTATCTAAAGGTTAGTGTACAAAGAATCTTCATGGTGAGTTCTAGAGGAGAGTAGTGAAGAAAACTAAACAAGCCCTAAGGTCTTCCTGAAAAGTGTATTTGCTTATTATTTTACGAGTCACCCCTCCTGGACTATATCTCATGATTATATACTAATACAAAACTGAATAATACAGAAAGTGGCAGCTTGCAACGATAGAAATCCAAATAAACTTCATTGCTCACTCAATAATCAGAACTGTGAACTGCTCTTGCAGCTTCTGAACAAGCGCTACACTGATGTATGTACAGATTTGATTTCTACAAGAACGCATATACAGATAGATGTATATAAATGAAGGATTGTTCATTAAGGTTTGGCTGTTGACTGGAATGGACTGACTTCAAACCATCTTTCCTCCCTGTTTACCTTCTAGGCATTCTTTCTCTTCTTTCCCGATCCTCTTCTATTATTTTTTAATTTGTATAAATGGATCCAGTTGTACTTATACTCCTTGGAATTTTTTTTAGTTAAGTGGCAGCTTGCCAACATGGAGCTACAGTTACTTCCCTGTCACCGGATATATAGTGCCCATGATGGCCATACGTTTCTTACAACGAGCTTGCCACAGAGCGAGGTGAAGAACAGTGCTGTCTCTTAAGATTTTCTTTTCAGGTCATAAAAATTTCTAAGATTTTGGCTTTAAAATGAAGGTGGCCATATAACATAGTGGTTGTGAACACAAGGCACAAACACAAAACTCAGTTGAATTCCTACCAAATGCATTGAGCAACCGTAGGCAAATCACTGTTGGGCCATCTGTCAGATTTGTGCTGTAGCCATTTGGAAAATATCTTTGTATCAACGGCCAAAATCCAGTTGATGTAAATTTACACCAACAGGATCTGATGGCATTATCAGCTGGCTTTATTAAAATTTAATTTAAATGAATTAAAAGCTTCTTATCCCTATTTTAGGTTTCCAAGGTTTTGCTTTGAGGAAGCCTTGGGAAGCTTTTAGTTGCTGCTGGTGGGGACAATCAGTGGTAGCAAAGGCTCCCCCTTCTGTTTTGAGCCCCCAAAGGTTTCCTGACGGAAAATGGGAACTCTAGACTGAGCATTGGGACCTAAAATGGGGGTGGGGAAGATATGTAAGTTAAATTTTACTGGTACCAGCTGAGGACATCATCAGCTTGCATCAAAATATATGCAACAGGATTTTGCCCATAATGTAAGGTTATGGCACCCAAATGACAAGGTTTCCATAGATCTGTTGACTGTTCTAGAGACATCCTGTGGTGGAAAGGAAATTCAAATACGAGATTTTTTCCAAGTGAGAAGCAATTCTAGAGGTTATATATAAGTGGAGTGGGGAAAGTCATGCTAGCAAAGCAACCACTTACGTCATGGACAAAACAGACCATAGTTCCATTCTGTCTCCCAGTCCACCAATACATTTAAATCTAACTGAAATAAATCCCATGGAAATACTGTATAGGTTTACTTCACGGAGCTGAGCAAAGGAGATGACAAGGATGAGATCACCTACCTTTTCCCTCTCACCTTGGCTTTACTCCTTATCTTTGTTGCTGCCTGTTCATTGTCCAGCTTCAGCCCTCCGTTCCTCAAATAAGAGCATTCTTATTAATGGCTAATAGCCTACTGGCTAAACATAGAGCAGAAGGGAAACCACACGAGCATTCCTTCCCCCCTCCCACCAGACGCCTTGTTGTGTGGCTGATCTTGCAACTAGTATAAGAACAGGTACATGACGAGGATCCTGCCAGAGCAGAGAAGATCCTCACATGATTTCCATTCTGCTCTGTGTTTGTAATCCCTCGAGCTACTACTTGCCTGTGTACGCTCTCTCTCTCACCTTCTTGCATGAGAGCTTACTTTCAATATTTGGCAAAAGTCTTCTTTCATTATCCTTTTTTAAGGGGTCAAGCTTCACATGTGAGACACTTAGGAGCAGGAGTTCTGATGTTGAGTTCCACTTTGGTTTGATTTTTGAAACCAAGAAAACATAGTGCAAGGGGAGGGGGGGAAACCCACACTTATTTCAAAATGTCAGCTTTATTTTCAAAAAAGGCTAAATCTTTAGCAGCTCCTTTTCAATGCAAAAGGGAACATGTGTGAGTTGTAGGGCTCAAACCCCAGAAATTCTCCCACCACAAAAAGTCCCTAAAATAAAGGGTCAGTATGAAAGCACAGACACAGTCCCACTCTTACCCAAGTTCTTATGTGCTTTCATTGGGGGTTCATTGATATAGACTCCAGCATAGCAACGATTCTTTCCCCACCATAGTTAGGCCCCCTCCCTTCTGTAAATATCCAACTAATTAATACTAAATACAGAATAACCAGCAAATTAATACTATAAGTTACAATCCGTTGTGGGTCTGTCGTAACCCAGACGGTTTACCCTTTCAGGGTAACCAAGTCAATACCAATATCTGAGAAAGAGTCGGCTGTGTCTGCTCCTTCAGTTCCTCTTTTTACATCGGATTTGTAAAATCCAATGTGTTCTTTGAGCATGGCACTAGAGGCGTAGTAAGGATGGCGATGAGGACAGGACATACTCCATACTGCTTCCAACCCTGACGTTTTGGATCAGTGGAATTGTCTAAGCCCACCAAGTATACATACGTGCATTCACACACACGTGCACAGAGCTGAGCCTAAGAGAGCATGATAGACAAACCAGAGGAGCGACAACTACGAGCCTGCAAGCAACTACATTACAGGGAGCGCATCTGAACACTGCGGTTTAAAATTGATATTCAGAGCTGCAGCTTTGCAAAGTGATCGTGGCCTGAATAAAGATTAGACTGAATTCAGAACATGCGCTACTTTTTAAATTTCCAAGCTTATTAAAATCTTTTAAGAAATTGTGCACTCACATCCTGATGAGATGTTGTCCCTACACAGATGGCTGCTACCCAAACGCCATACGGTTTGCTAAAAACACACACCCCAGTCTGATCCTGTAAAGACTAGCTGTAGGTGCTGTTGATTTGATTTGGGCAGTGCTTATCTGGATTCTTTGTAAGATCTCAGACAAACATTTGACGTTAATGAGCCCTCAAGATGGGCCTCAAACATGTCTGAAGTGTCATATGATCCCTTTAAACTTGACAACCATGTATACAATCCAGATGTCTAGGTACAGTATTCCAAAAAGAGAGTTACTTCTGCTAACCCCTGAAATAATCATGTTAAAAACCTGTAGGTCATTCCTGTAGGTCAGATAGCAGGAACAGAAGTCTAAACTAGATGGTAGAAGAGTTTTTTCACTTGCATGTGAAATGCAAAAATTATGGTAGTTGTTTGACCAAGTCAAATTCATAAAGGACTCTTAATGGTTCCTCTTTCAAAATCTAAAATTGGCTCTTTCTGGTTGCCTAAATGTAAATCCACCTAAACTGACTCCAGTCAAAGAGATCATATTTTCTTGTACCAACCAAGAAGGCCTGTTTGTTTACAGAAAGGGACTCCTTTCTTGACGTTCTTCAGCTTTTGTACAGAACAGAGTAAACAACAGACAGCATTTAAAATGTAACCTGGGGAACAGTTTGCCAAACTCCTAATAGACAATGAATTGACAGAGCCCGTCTCCTCTACGCCTGTTGGCTTCAAAATATTGGCATTTCTATTTTTAACTTCCATGTCGATGAAAGTGCCTGAACATGGGAGACATTAACACTTTTTAAAATGACACACACACACGCACACACACATTTTGTTGAGTCGTGCCCTAAAAAAACCCAATGTTTTGGGGCCATGATCTATATACAAGTATTTGCTTAGCTGGCAACCCAGGGGAGGGCACCTAATGGCTAATGTGCATTTCTATCTCCTCCTTTAAAGAACCAAAACATGTTGTGCAAGAAAGCTCTCACATTATTCACCATTTCCTAGTCACCTTCAAGATGTAAAGCGACGACCTGATGTCTTTAGGCCGGTGGACAACTAGCACCTCTTCCACGTTACAGGGATTTTTAAAAAAAGGATTAAGCCCGGTTATATTCTATGCTGACCTCACAGGCGAAGTGGCCAGCCCGCCATGCTTCAAGATGGGGAACCTGACTACATCTGCCAGTCGGATTGGGGCACGGCATCAGGCATTGCCTCTTATCGAGACAGGCCCTCGCAAGGAGAAGAAAATAGTCATAACCCTCGGGGGTTCAACTGGAATCAGTTGAAATTACAGCAAGTCAAATAGCTGATGCTTTTCCCTTCGCCAGGCAGTGGGGATTCCACATTGTTCACAAGGGTGTTCTGCCTTGCTTCGCTGATCAGCCGGCAAGCTAAGTCCAGAAAGAGTTTTTCCACATTATCCGACTCTTTAGCCGAGGTCTCCAGATAGTACATCTCCTGCGCTTCGGAAAATTCTTCGGCTCTTTGTTGAGATACTTCGCGTTTCTCTGCCAAATCAATCTTATTCCCTGCGTAAACAAAGCAGATGGGGGGGAAAGATAAGTCTTGACTTCAGGAAAACTTTCTAAAAAATCAAAATCCCTGTACAGCTGTTCTGCATGAATCCTGACATCCACAAACCAAACACTAAATATCCACCATGATACTTGAGAAGCTTTAAAAAAGTATTGGGTTTTTTTTCCTCTTCTGACTGCAAAGATATTTGTGTGTGAGAGAGGGAGGGAGATAAAGCACCTGCCAGATCAATATGGGGGACAAAGTTCAAGATCAATGAGTTGTATAAAACCTGCCCTCTAAGAACTAGTCATTTGAAGAGGAGCAAAGTGGTGAAAACTGAACTGTATTAAATCCTCCCTGAATGAGTCTTCAGTTTCAGTCTCAAATTCATACTAAGGGCCAAAGTATGAATGACTGCAGAAGCAGGATAGGATCCCAATGTCTCCTACATCGTGCCTGAAATCCCATTGCGCAGTTTTGCAAAAAGTGCAACTTTGGAAAGCAAAACTGCTGTAAATTAAGAAATTCAAACATGATCCAATGCATGTTGAGATGTGACTCTCCATGTGCAGGAGGCGATACCTACAGAGATTTCCAAACTTACGACAATTCTATTTGAAAACTGGATTTCAGCCAGTGACAGAATTGAGGGTAGAGGACCATCCTAATGAGACTCAAGAGTTTTCATCATACCAGCTGCAATGCCACGAATATCTGGTGTTTCCAGAGGCATCCAAGCAGTTGGAAAATGTATGGGAAATTCTCACTCCCAAAACCTACCACTTAATGCTTCCTAGCAGGCTTCAATCTCTCTTAGATATGGCATGAGAGCAACTAAGAAAAACACTGTACGTCTCCAAATGTTCTAGCCTTGTACTCCCCCCTCCAGCAGTATTTACCAGCTAAATGTGTTTTATATTTTCAGGCTGGCTTTCAGCACAAAGCCAATGAGAAGCAGCTATGGCTCCACACTTTCCTGGCGAGCTGTCCTAATTAAGCCTCTGAGAAAGTATTTTTTAAATTCCTCCACTCCTGAATACTTCCAGCTGTAAAGAAAATCTGTTTAGTTTTCATCATTGTCAGTGTTATATAACCTCATCTGCCCATATTGTCCTCCTCTAACTGTAACCCAGGAAACACTCTATGGTTGAAATTCTGTTGCCTAAGTTATACCTGCGGAAAACTGAGGATATCAATAACAAGGGGCAATTTTTGGTAACTTCTCCAACTTGTGAAGCTTGGGGATCCCTGAGAAACAAAGAGGAAGTATTTTTCTTTATCAAAAACTAACACCACTTATAGGAGTGTCATGATGCAACAGTTAAACTGCAGTTCTGCAGCCAAAACTCAGCTCATGATGCAGGTTCAATCCTGAGTAGGAGGCCTGAGGTTCACTCAGCCTTCCATCCTTCTGAGGTCAGTACAGTGGTGCCTCGCCTAATGAGCGCACCATTTAACGATGAATTTGCATAGCGATGCGTTTTTTGCAATCACTAATGTGATCGCATTGTGATGTTTCGCTTACCAGGCAGCGAAAATGGCGGCTGGATCGAGGATTCCCCGCATAGCGGTGAGTTTTCGCCCCAATAGGAACGCATTAAACCCATTTTAATGCGTTCCTATGGGGTCCCCCCGTATAGTGACGGATCCACATAGTGACGTTAATCCTGGAACGGATTAATGTCGCTATGCGGGGCACCACTGTAAATTGAATACCCAGCTTTGGAGGGAACAGTGAAATGTGTAGCCTGCATTATCAAATTGTAAACTGGCCAGAGTGTGCATTAAGTGCCATGAGGTGGAATATAAGCAGCACACTTTGCTTTGGGTTTGTTTTAACATCATTATCAGTGGCTGTAATTTACAGTAGCTTCCACACAACGAAAGGGAAGGAGCCATGAGACAGAAGTGGAAAATATTTAGTCCCCAAAAATGTCCCCCTATTGTTGACATCATCAGGCTTCTGCAGGCACAATTTTGCCATGAAGATTTCAAACAGTAATTATTTTCCTTTATGAATGGAGCAGTCCCAATAACTACAGTAATCTAGCATTAACTGAGCCTTAATGTGAATGTCTAAAATTAACACACTAAAGGAAGAGCATCAATAGTTTTTCTGTTTCATTTAATAAGTAAAGATCACCTTTCCACCTTTTGAACGCAGGACCCCAGCCTAGGGCCCATTTATTTAGGGAGGTGTTAACAAGTAAATCAGTATTGTTGTTGTGCTATCACATCACTCCAAGGTGTGATAGCACACAGGACCCTCAGAGGGTTTTCAATGTGCGATGTTCAAGGAGTAATTGACTACCGCCACCATCCACTGAGTTTCCATAGCCCAACAGGGACTGGAAGTCAGGTGTCCTGAATCCTAGGTCAACACTGTATCCACTACACCACAGTGGCAAAATCGATCAATACATTTAACAAATGCATCGCTGACTATCACGCACCAGGCTGTCCTTCAGAACATCCTTCTCCCCACATCTGCCAGTTATGGATGAATCCACTAAAACAAGGCAGGCGGGTTGGGGATGATTTCTGCAGCCAAAATACGCCAACCGCCCATCTTCCAGCTTCCGAACACCAGCAGAGTTTCTGGACCGACAACCAGAAGAGCAATGTTGGGAAATTAAATGCTGTGAAGCATCAGAACAGCCAGACATTAACGGGCTTCATGGTTGAGGCTTCTGTTGAACTGGAAGCTCAGCCAAAAACAGCTGCCTTTCCAGCACGTATGGAGAAGTTTTAAAAAGGAAAACATTTGGGAGCCTGGCTTTTCTTTTTCGTTTCCCTTTTTGATTTTTTTTAAAATTTAAAAAGGCATTTCCTTCCCCAGGTTTGAGATACATATAGGCCACAAATGGAAAAACAGAAGCATTAAAAAGTGCTACACTTCCCTTTTGTTCAATTTCATTTTCAATTTAACATAATTTTCCTTTTTCAAATGTTAGATCTTTTTGCAATATTTATGTCCAAATATTTTATAGACTTTCGTATATTAACATCATTTTTCCTTTGACAGCCCCCTTTTCCTCTTTATCATAATTTCATTAAAAATCTGTGATTTTATGTCAGTTTATCTGTGTCCCCCCCCATTATCTCTCCACATGCTTTCAAATGTCCTTTAACAGGATCCTCCAGAGCAGCCATTCTCAACGGGGCGGGGGTAGGATATGGCTCTTTAGGGGAGGGGTGGGCAATTAATTTCTATAAGGGGGCCACATGAAAAATCTAAACTGTGTTCGGGGGCTGAACCAACTTTACTTAAAAATAAAATGAAACAGTGATGTTATGATTGTTTTTATTTTAAACTTGTTAATTTTCACAAATACTAAAGAGGATTTTTGCGGTATGTTAAAGATAAGCAACTGATCAACTTTAGACAAAAGGCTATAAATGGTTTTGATGTTCAAAACTGTCCGCGGGCCGGACAGGAGTGGTTCGTGGGCCATATGTGGCCCTCGGGCCGCACCTTGCCCACGTCTGCTCTAGGCTAACTGTATCTCCCCTTATGAGCCTTCTCGGCATTTAATATAATCAGAGGAGGCCCTCTTCATAGTCTCATTGCCAGCACAGGCATAGTTAATGGGGACACATGACGGGGCCTTCTCAGTGACAGCTCCCACGTTCTGGAATGCTCTCCCTCTGGAAATGAGGCTGGCCCCCTCCTTTTTATCCTTCCGATGACAGCTGAAGACCCGCCTTTTCAGGCAGGCTTTTTAGCAATGATGGAATCCCTGCGTGGCATTTTTAAGTTAACATCATTTTTAATGTTTACCTGCTTTTAATTATTAATTGTATTTTAATTAGAGTATAATTTTTTATTTTTAACTTATTTCATTTATTTCGGGCATTTAGAAACTTCCCCAATCAAATAAAATATAAAACCAGTCATAAGGAAACGAGACTAGGGCAACATTATCTCGGAAAACAGAATGGCTGGCTGACATCCTAGCATAAGCCCCGAGTTTTATGTATTTCTCTTCTGCATCATCCTGTTCCTGTATTACAATCAATAGATCGGATTAAAATTCGTAATGGAATTGCGTAATAATGGAAATTATTAAATACAAATTAAATGTAAACTATGTATGATTAACTCTTCAAAGCAGAAATTCTGCAACATCGCATGTACTGTTTTTGAAAACATGCCCTTAGTCCTTACAAACAGATAGCTTCATGATTTTAACGTCCCCGTTGAGTTTTGTGTCTGAGCTTACCAGGGTCCTCATAAAATTTGCTCCAGGGATCGGATTTTGATTCCAAGAGCAAATGGCTGCGAATGGTTGCTGCAGTGCACTCCAACAACGGCATTTCTGCCTCCCCTCCCTCTCCCTTTTAGAAACACTCCCGCTGATTTGCCACGAGGAGTTTCCCTCCGCCAAAGAAGCCCCAGCTTTCTCTTACCCACTAGGACAGTGATGACCTTATTGCTGGCATACTGCTCTATCTCTCGCAGCCACTCTGGCAAGCATCGGAAGGACTCTTCACACGTTATGTCGTAGGTCAGGATTAACGCATTGGCGCTCCGATAGTAGCTCTGAGTAATAGACCGGAATCTCTCTTGTCCTGCTGTGTCCCAGATCTGCAGCTTTTGTTTTTTCATGGCAGGGAAGTGAGGAAAGAAAAAGACTGCATTAGCACAAAAATCATTAACAGATTGCCGTGCACCTCTGACCTGTGATCTTCCCACCTCCTCATAAAGCCATGGATAGAGATGGGCACGGACTGGTTCGTTCCAGTTCGTGAAGCTGGCAGCACAGGTGCTGTTGCTCCCCTTTCCCTGCCTCCTCAGCCAATCAGCCCCTCACCAGGCCCAGCTTTCCACACCTCCTCGGCTAATCTCCCAGTGACGAGCAGCAGCCCAGACTTCTCTGCCCCGCCCTTTTGTCTGAGTGGCAGATCAGCCAAGAGAGCGGGACAGAGAAGCCTGTGCTGCTGCCGGGACTGGAAGATCAGTGGAGGAGGTGCAGGAAGGTGGCATGCTGGGCCTGGTGAGGGGCTGATTGAACCAGAGGCGGCAGGGAAGGGAAGCAGCGGCACCTGTGCTGCCACCTGTACGAACTGGAATAAACTAGTTCATGCCAATCTCATGCCAATGGCATTCCACGCTACAGGACCCCATTTTAAGGATACTGGTTGCGCCCTGCAGGATCAGGCCACAGATCCAAATCATTGCCTTCTGGGAATTATAACTCCCAGAACTCCTGGCTAGAGTGCTCTATCAATTGTAGTGTGAAAAAGTTGTGATCAAACAAAATGTAGACAGGCAGATATTTCTGAGAAACCCACAGGCAGGAAGGATGCAAACCAAGCGCCTTCTCTTGCTTTGTATCCCCAAGTCAATAGTATTCAGAGGTATACTTCTCTTCTACTTGAAAGTTTCATTCTAACTATGATGGTTTTTAAGCAAACCTGTGAAGACACTCAGGGATACCTGGTCAACTTTTCAGATGACACTGAACCAAGAGAAAAAGCAAACGCTTGAGAAGACAGAATCAAGATTCAAGATTACCTTAAGAGATTGGAGAATTCGGCCAAAGAAAACAACATGGGTCAACAGGGGACAATGTAAAGTTATTTATTCAAATAGGAAAGATCAGACACACCAATACAAGATGAATGGCTTGACAGTAATGTCTGTGAAAAGGATCAAGGACTCTTAGTAAAGCACAGGCTAAACGTGAGTCAACAATGTGACATGGCAGCATAAAAAGCAAATGTTCTACCTAAGTGTATCAAAAGCAGTTTAGCGTCCAGATCAAGGAAAGGAACAGTTCCAGCTCTAAAATATTCCAAATGCTACTCTGAGCAGGAACAGAACTCATACATATGATTTACAGAAGCCACAAAGAAGAATAAATAGTATCACTCAATTCTGCTTCACAGAACCCATACGTATGATTTACAGAAGCCACAAAGAATAAATAGTATCACTCAATTCTGCTTTAGTCAGATCTCACCTGGAATCCTGTGTCCAGCTATGGCATTACAATTATTGGACATCAGCTACCTGGAACATGTCCAGACAAGGGCAACCAATATGACAAGAGATCTAGAAACCAAATCTATAAGGAATGCTTAAGGGAGTAGGCTCACGCTACAGGAAGCCAGATTTAGGCTGAGTACAGTATCAGGAAAAACTTCTTGATCGTTAGAGCAGTACAACAATGGAAACAATTACCTCGAGAAGTGGTGAGCGTTCCAATGCTGGAGGCATTCACAAGAAAAATCGTCTGTCAGATCTGCTTTGATTTGGATTCCTGCCTTGAGCAAGGGGTTGGACTCAATGGTTTTATAAGCCTCGTCCAACCCCATTATTCTAAAGGAGTCCTTGCTCTTCCCAGTTTGAACTGCACTTCTGATCCGTTTCTCTGGACTATTACCAACGTAAAGCTAGATCCTAGCGTAGCACCAAAGAAACAAGCCCCAGATGTGTACCCTCCTCTCATGGAAGGGCAAGGAGAATAAGTCTGGAAGCATCTGCTTCTACTGTTTAACTGAAGACCAAATCGGAGTGCGTAGATGGCTCATACAGAAACCGACAGGAATTGTACAAAGCTTCATTTTTGACCAATCAGACTTGAAAATAAAGCCTGATGACCTTCCCAACCACCAGTCACAAAACGAAAGCGAGCAAATTTGTATTGTACTGTCTATATCATACAGTTTGCTTCGGTTTCTTTTTAAGCCAAAGGAAACTCAGGTTTATGGTTAGTAAAGAAGCTGGAGTCATAAACTCATAAATAAGCACCCAGCTTATTACAAACAAATGGTAGTTACTAGGCAGAATTCTACCCCCTATTTTAAAAAAAGTGGGGACTCTGATCATTTTAATAGTGGGGGGCCCTCCTGATGGCCACAGTAGAAGATGAAAAATCAAGGAAATAAACCCTGGACTCACTGGGTCTTACAACGATGGTTTTAACCAGAGTTTTGGCCACTGCTCATAATGGCTGTTGGATTCTGGCAGTTGTAGTCCAAAGCAAGTAAACCTTCCAAGATCTGTTTTAGTTTTAGATGCAAAATACCCATGGGGGACAGGAAGTAGAAGAGACCCGTAGATGTCCTGGATTTATAATGTCACAAAGCTCTCATGGTGCCTTTTCTCCAGTTCTCCTTACAATCTTCTTCCAGCCCTTCTGCATTTACAGATTTACATTCAGGGCACAAAGCCGAGATGACACACTAGATGATTCTCCTCCAAGGACGTAACTGTGTCTGGAAATACAGATGTGATATTTATCATGTCCTCACATCAGTGATGGAGAGCGACAGCCTTTCTGCCGTGGAATTTTAATGCCAGCATTAGAAAACTGCCCGGAAGCTCTACAGAGGTTGCACCCCCTCGGATCACGACAACGGGATCTGTCTGGGCAAGAGGGACAAGGGGTAGCAGATGAGGAAGAACATTAAGTCTCCCCAGTTTGACCCAATCATTCACAAACCAAGATTTTTACCGGCGTTATTTTTCATTGTGTTTGCCTGTTTTAGAACTGCAAGAGATGCTCAGTTGAAAACCACCCGATTAATCAGCAGCCGCCAAGCAGGGCGATTCTGTGCATGTTGAAAAGTAAGCACACAATCTTTACGACCCACTTCCAAGGTCCTGCTGCAAAAAGCTGACTAGCGATGAGAAAGGAAGGCTTTTCCAAAGCGTTCTATTTCCCTTCCCCCTTCAAGCCCCACCTCCCAAATCCATGAAACCCAGGCAGATTTCGGGGCCAACTTCTAGGAAGGATCTTTTGATTCTCCAAGGCTTTTGGCAGAACAATCTCTCTAAAAGAAAGCCACGGCATCAGATCTCATCCAGGACATCCAAGGAGCTGCGCTGCTTGGTTCCGGACAAAAAGAGAGGAAATATTTTCTTTCCTCTGGAGTTGCAAGCTGCCTTTTAGCCTTGGAGAAAAAAACAACAGCAAAATCAGCCTGTGGGCTAATGCATTTGAATCATTTTTTACCTAAGTGGCTGCTCACATGAAATCAATAAACAAGGAGGACAGTCGCTGCCCTTAGGCTTACAATCAATAAGGGAGAACACCAAAGAAAAGAGGAAGAGAAAGGAAAGAGGGGGAAAGCAACTTGAAATACCACATCTTAAAGCGGAAAAAGTTCTTATCACAAGAAGCATGAACAGATACAATTGAAGGAGAGAAAGGAATTGTCAAGAAGAGGTGATCTTTCCGGAGAACTAAAGGCCACATCTAGGGCCACCTGATGGAACGGTTGATGGTCGATTCCCCAGAGGGCAAGAAGATATATTTTGCTCACTTGCCTGCTTTTGTTCTTTATCTCTCCTTCCAAAAATCACACACTCCCTATTTTCTCCAACTCTGCACATGACAACTGGAGAAAAGAGGATTCAACAGCAATGGTCTCCCAGTCTTGGGTCTCCAGATGTTCTTGGGCTGCAACGCCCAGAAATCCTGGCCAGCATCACTAGTGGTGAAGACTTCTGGGGGTTTTAATCAAAGAAGATCTGGGGATCCATGGTTGGGAAACACTGCTTTAGAGTTTCCCTTTAAACTATCACTCCTAATAACCTTGATTCTCTTTGATAGCCTCCATTTTATTTTATTTTTAATTTAAAATATTTTTAATCCTCCTTTCTCCTTTAAAAGGACCCAAGGCAGTTTACAACAAAAGACTTTATTGAACAATGAGTATACAATGCTAAAAGGATCAAAGAATACAAAAATGAATAAATAAATAAAAAACCCAGCAACATAAATTGTTTGACATGCTTATAAAGTTATCTAAATCCTGAGACCATGGTCACATCTGGTGGCAGCACGTTCCGGAAGTTCATTATCCGAGACAGACCAAGCTCACCCACCAAATTAGGCAAGAAGTGAAGCCGCCTACTGCGAGCTGCAGTGTTGCAAACACACATCAGCGCATTGCCAGAACCCCACAAAGCTCTTGGCTGAGCTGTACACACTGCAAAAAATGGCAAGCACACTTGTGCACGAAGCTGGCTACTTCTGGTTCTGAAATCCTTGTTTCTGAAGACCCCCCACAGAGCCACACACTGGAGGTGAAGTTCCTTGGGAAAGCGTCCATGCAACAACAAAGCGATGTTCCAAATCCCAATGCCTTCAAGTGCTCAGCTTTGACGTCTTCTTCGGGCGAGGCACTTCTGAAGAAGACAATTCCTCATGGAGACAGCACTGTGCAAGGTCTTTCCTAGGGCTGGGGAAGTCATTAATACACCAGTCTTGGTGCTCTGCCACCTAGAGCTACTAAAATGGATGACTGTCCCTGTTCTCGAACACATAATTAGCCATGAGCAAAACACGGCCATTCAAGCAGTTTTCACTCTGAGGGTCCCCAACCTTGGGCCTCCAGATGTTCTTCGACTACACCTCCCAGAAGTCTTCACCACTACCTCTGCTGGCCAGGATTTCTGGGAGTTGAAGTCCAAGAACATCTGGAGGGCCAACATTGGGGACCAATGTAGGAATTCAAGCCATTCTCTCCCACGTTGTTATTTCTAAATGGTGCCTTACTTTTTATTTCAGACTCGTATTTTCATAGTCCCTGTTTCTAGAATCTTCCCAATGGGCATGAGGATCTCCACACCGTGCTGTCACTCCCCTCCCCTCAAGGATTAACTTTCACCAAGAGACAGGCAAGGCCACGAAGCTCTTGGCATACCAGGGACACAGGATTCGCAGAAAGCTTCCCAACATCGCTCTCACGTGAGACTGCTGCTTAGCAAAGAGGGGATCCTTCAGCACTGGCTTGTTCCCCACTGGTTTCAGTCTTCTCAGGGCCCATCCGTAAATTATTTCAATGACTGCAGGCAATTTGTACTTGCTGTACTTCTATAGCTATTTCTGCTCCCCTTTCTAAAAGTATCCCATCTACATCCAAATTACTAGCTAAGGCCAGGAGAAGACAGCAAATGATGGATTCCCAGTCTCTCAGTCTGCCTCAATGACTCAAAGGGGGGGGGCACAAAGATCTACAGAGAAGCCAGAAGGACAGTGAGAAACTTAACCCATATCCTCCCAGCCTCGGCACTCTTTTCTCGAGCAGATTTCCCAAGCTTTATTAGGGAAGTTGATTTGGGGCTTAAGCTGCAGAGGGGGTGGCTGCAAAAGTAAAGCAAAGTGTGCTGCTTATATACTGCCCCATAGTGCTTCAAGCCCTCTTTGGGCAGTTTATAAGTTAATTATGCAGGCTACACATCCCCCCCCCCTCCAGCAAGCTGGGTACTCATTTTACCAACCGCGGAAGGATAGAAGGCTGAGTCAACCTTGAGCCGGCTACCTGGGATTGAACCCCAGGTCGTGAGCTGCAGTACAGCGGTTTAACCACTGCGCCATGAAGGTCAGTGCCAAGTAAAGAAACAGGAAGATGAAAAGTGGTACCTCCATGGGGTCTCCCAACACGGGTACCCCATTTCTGTGACTGGGCATCTTATGCGATAGACATTAGCAGCAGATCCAGTGCAATGTAGGGGTGAACTGGTAAACTACATACCACAAAGTTTTTCTCTGTGTGTTTTTTTTCATCAGAAGCATCAGACATTTCCCCAATTCATAGAAGTACCTGTTTCGCACGTACTTTCATGTAAAATACAAGTAAGGTCCAAAAATGGAACCAGAAAAGTGAAGCAAAGACTTACCTTTACTTTTTCACCATTTATCTCCACTGTCTTAATCATAAAGTCAACCCCAATGGTGGCTCCTTGTCCTGGTGGAAAAAGACCCTTTTGGAGGACAAAAAAAAAAAAGAAAAATATTATTTGTACGAGACTTTGGGTACCACAGATGCCTAACATTTCATATTTTGCTAGTCAGCAGAAGAATCTGATGACTTCAGAAACCTACTGTGTAAAGCTACAGAAACCCAACCCACAAAATTATTCATTTTATTAACAACAGGGTAGATGTCAGTGAACTACAAGTTCAGAAAATCTCCTTTCTTTTTTATTAGCATCCAAACACTCCACAGATCCATCCATTAGACCTCCATCCACGATCTTTCTACTCCCCAACCAGACCTGGCAACACAACATGGGCTCAGCTTTCTGCTTGGGTTCTAGTATACTGCAGAAAATGGTGTTCCGGGAAATGTTGATACCTGGTCTATGCTTCTTAAAAAGCAAAACAGAGCAAAACTGTGATCTTATCTGTTCAACAGTTGGGTCAGCAGAAGTTTTAGAAACAAAAGGATTGTTTTGCAGCCATCAGTGAGGAGGTTCTGCCTTGGCATGGGCCTAGATCTTCCACCCCCACCGCAGAAGCCCTCTCGCCTGCTGGCAAGGTTGATTTTCCTCTTAGAATACTAGAGATAAATCTGTTGATTTTCTGCCACAAGAGTAATCTGTTCAGGTTCATTAACAGCCCTTTGGTGTAATGAGAATAAGGCATTTCAGGGCTAGCCCCAGGTTAATACGGAGAAGTATGGCCTTTCCTTGCATGGCGATTGCTGCCAGTGGGTTGATAGCTGAAGCCATCTCCAAACACTCCCACTCGGTGCAAGGCGGGGAGGAAAAAGTCCATCCAACAGGCCACAGGCACTTCTCCATTCTGCTGCCTCAAGGGCCCTCCCAGAGCCTCCCCCTACCCACCCAAAAAACCAAAAAACAATCTCCAAAGTAGCTATTTGGGACAAGTCCTGCCATGTCAGGAGAACCATCATCTGGAAGTGATCAGAGAGCAGTTGAACAAGCCCAAATATTTCTCATTCTTTTAAACATATGTGAATGTTACCTCTCCTCACAAAGAACGGCTTCTGTTAAGTAAAAAAAAATGTGCACAGCAATAAATATCTATGTTTCCTAGGAAGAAGCAGAAATTGCCTGGAGACACCTTCCAGAAACTGTCAACTCACAAGGAAACTAGGTGATCAACAATTTTTCTTTTGCAAAATCTGAATTTTTTTGGGGGGGGGGAGAAGAAGCAAGCAAGCAACAGCAGCTTCTTGTTTCCTTTTCCTCCACAACTCATTAATCACTGGACACTGCCATCACACAGAGCAGCCACAGAGATCCTCAAAAGGGCTGGCAACGCTAATCAGGTTACTCTGTGCAGTGGGTTCTATTTTCACTCTTCTGCCCATGATGCACGGCCAAGCACAACTGAAAGGGAAATTTAACTTTCCCAAAGGCTGCTTCTTTGGAAGTTCTCAGTGGTGAAGAAGGGCTAAACAGTTCAAAAATGCCAGTGGCCAAAAAACATTCAATCAGTTACCTAGATTCAGTGCAAGTTGCTTCCTAACCAGACAACTGAACACTGCTCAGGCTATTTGATTTTTATTTGGATGTTTTGTGTAGGCATCCTTCAGTCTTGAGAGATTATGGTCACATGCTCTGAACAGAGGTATTGGAAAAATATCTGGTGTGGCTGAGAAGGCCAATTCGAGAGGGACCATCCCTTCCACACTGAAGACAATACAGTCTGTCTCCTGTCCAGCTCCCTGATTTGGCTGGTTTCGGAACTGCCTCTTTGCCTCGGCCTGCTGGACAAGGGTCTCTTCAAATTGGGTAAGGCTGTGATGCACCGCCTGCCTCCAGGCTGAATGCTCAGATGTCAAGCTTTCACATCTGTTGAGCTCCATTCCTAAGGCCTTCAGATCCCGCTGGCAGATCTCCTTGTATCTCAGAGATGTGGTCTCCCTCTGGGGCCATTTCCCTGCACTAATTCTCCATACAGGAGACCTTTTGGAATCTGACCGCCAGCCATTCTCACGACATGCCTGAGTCAACAGAACGTTGGATGTTTATAAAAGGAAAGCCACACAGGAACTACCTCCTCCTAAATACATAGGAAGAGCTCGGTTGACCAGGCCATAAAGCCTACCTCCAGAAGTATTCTGTTTCCACCCACCAGAGGCCAAGGAGAAGTCCACGTGCAGGAGTCCCCCCCCCCCGCTACTGTTCCCCAGTAATTGGGGCTGACAGACATAACACCGAAGAGGATATCCGACTCTGGAGGTAGCGTACAAGCAGCTATGGGTAATTTTAGCCTCCATGAATTTGTCTGACCCACTTTTAAAGACATTCAAACCATTGCTATATATCACAGTCCATAATTTGGCAATGTACTCTGTAAAGAATTATTTCCTCTTACCTGCCTTGACCTTGTCATCGTTCTGCTTAAAAGCATGACCCTGGCTTCTGTTATTGTAAAATAGCAAGGAAAACACACCTGTTCTTATCATGAATTATTTTATACCTCCTCTGTCATCCCCGACCCTGCTTACTTGCCTTTCTAATACAAAAAGCCTCCAAAAATGGGAATTGTAGGGACTTGCTCCAGCCAAGATCCTTCTGATTGTCCTTTTCTTCACCTTACCCAGTTCTAAAATGTGTTGTTATGTGCTGTCAATTCACAACAGACTTACAATCTTAATGGGGCTTTCAAGCCAAGTGAGATATTTAAGTCTTAATGGGGCTTTCAATCCAAGTGAGATATTTAAGACGTGGGTTTGCCAGTTCCATACTCCTAGTGAGTTTCCACGGCAGTGGGATTCGAACCCAGGCCTAACCGTAACCCTCGATTCACTATCCCACATTGGGTAATTCTGCAATAGCCTTCATAAAATGCAGCAACCACAACCTCAAAGCTTCCTCATTTATTTGTTTTTGGAACAATAACTTGCCTTTCTTCTAAAAATAGGTCTCAGTTGACTCCCAGCGGGAATAAATGAAATGCAATTAAAGGGCAGATATCCAATGTGGTGTAGTGGACTGAGTGATGGACTAGGACCCAGGAGACATGGGTTCAAATCTCTGCTCAGCCATGGAAACTCACTGGTAAAACCACTCCTTAAATATCTCACTTACCTTGAAAGCCATGTTAGGGTCTCTGTAAGTTGGTTCTACATCACCTTGCTAACAGAGGTCCGCATAGTCATAGCTATGGTTTTTCCAGTAGCAATGTATGGAACTGAGAGCTGGACCATAAAGAAGGCTGACCGCCGAAGAATGGATGCTTTTGAATTGTGGTGCTGGAGGAGGCTCTTGAGAGTTCCCTGGACTGCAAAGAGAACAAACCTATCTGTTCTGAAGGAAATCAACCCTGAGTGCTCACTGGAAGAACAGATCCTGAAGCTGAGGCTCCAATACTTTGGCCATCTCATGAGAAGAGAAGACTCCCTGATGGAAAAGACCCTGAGGTTGGGAAAGTGTGAAGGAAAGAAGAGAAGGGGACGACAGCGGACGAGATGGCTGGACATAATCATCGAAGTCATCAACATGAATTTGACCAAACTGTGGTAGGCAATGGAACACAGGAGGACCTGGTGTGATCTGGTTCATGCGGTCACGAAGAGTCAGACACGACTTAACAACTGAACAACAACAACCAAGTTGGTTCTGGCTTGACAGCACAGAATGCACGCGCACACACTTCCATGGCATAGTGCTGGTTTCTCCATGAATGCAAGTGAGGTACTGCCCTACCTCAGGCTGCCCGACCTATTCTGCTCTTGCCCGCCTCCTTATCAAAGGCAGAAGGACTCTGTGTGGGATGTAGGTGTGGATGCTTCCCTGCCTACCTGGCTTCCTTTGTGTGCCCATGAGAAAATATGCCAACTTGACAGCATGTAACAACAGCATCAACCATTAAAGGACAATCCATTAAAACAGTTACATTGAAAAAGCAACTTAAAACACATAACAAAAAGTAACTTAGAAGGAAACACAGCATCACTTGCCAAAAGGTTGTCTGATGAAAAGGTATTAAGTTTGACAGAAGGTGGACAATCCCTGACTAGAATGTCACAGGATTGGGTCTGGACATTTGACACTTGCTTGGATGAACCATTATAGCCATGCAGTACAGGCCAGGATAGAGGTCGCCTTAAGGTGAAGAAAGCAATCTGCACCAAAAACTGAACATTGGCTTTGAGAATACTGTACACTTTGTACAGTGCTGTGCATTGATTTTTAGAAGGTTGGTTCAGATATTTGAAAACAACAACAGAGGAGCATTTGAAATGCTGATTTATTCCTGAATGATGACTGTCTTCGATCAAGCGACTGACCAATGAAGGAACCCCAAAGGGAATGAATAATGACAGAAAAATCACAAAACTTGTACGATACAAAAGGCTAGAACACTTCAATAATGTTCTGAGAAACAGAAAGTGCAAGGTGTTCCAACTAATCGGTGAAGATAAAATGAATGGCCATAGACGTGCAGTGGAGGAACAGAACATGTTGGCTGAACAATGACTTGGGAGACATCGTTCCTCAGGCCCGCCACGAGAGCCTCCAAGCTCTGATAGGAAAAGAGGCAAAAGCAAGGCCGTTCTTGACTAGAGAAAGAATGAGATGAAAGAGCCCTATGTGGGCAACACCATCCGTTGGGGGCCATTCAGATCGATGTGCTGACACACCACTGGGAAGCAGGACACCCACCTCCAATTTCAAAGGGACCCCCAGAAGATGGAGGAGTGGCTGCTTCTCTCTTGGATACTGCTTGTATCTCATCAGAAGACATCTGCTGATGGGACAAGCTCGGCAAGTTGCCCCCATCCCCGGAGTAAGCCCCCAAATGAAACAAAGCCATATGGCAACCCTGTCCTCTTGGACCTTATACAATTCAACCCAGCTGCCCATCTTGCCAGTGTTTACAACAAAAATAAACCAACAGAACAGAAGAAAACAAAGGCCTCCTCTGGGGGATGCTTGCAAAACAAACAGATATGTTAGAAGGCAAACGTTCATGGCTAACAATCCAATTATTCGGATGTGAGAAGAAATGTGAAGGAGTACAGTGGTAACAGCAACCACGAAATTAAAAGACGCCTGCTTCTTGGGAAGAAGGCAATGACAAACTTAGATAGCATCTTAAAAAACAGAGACATCACCTTGCCAACAAGAGTCCGAATAGTCAAAACTATGGTTTTTCCAGTAGCGATGTATGGAAGTGAGAGCTGGACCATAAAGAAGGCTGACCGCCAAAGAGTTGATGCTTTTGAATTTTGGTGCTTGAGGAGACTCTTGAGAGTCCCCTGGACTGCAAGGAGAACAAACCTATCCATTCTGAAGGAAATCAACCCTGAGTGTTCAGTGGAAGGACAGATCCTAAAGCTGAGGCTCCAATCCTTTGCCCATCTCATGAGAAGAGGAGACTCCCTGGAAAAGCCCCTGATGTTGGGAAAGAGTGAAGGCAAGACGAGAAGGGGACGACAGAGGATGAGATGGTTGGACAATGTCATCAAAGCTGGCAATATGAATTTGACCAAACTCCAGGGCGGCAGTGGAAGTGCTCTGGTCCATGGGGTCACGAAGAGTCCGACATGACTTAATGACTAAACAACAACAACAACACAGTGGATTGCCCCCCCCCAAAAAATATGGCACTGTATTAGTTGGAAAGGTGCGACAGGCATCTTTCGTTTATTTCCTTGTTGTTGTTGTTGTTATGCGCCGTCACGTTGCCTCCAATTTACAGCCACCCTGTAAATTGGAGGAAACCCTACGAACGAGAGGTTTCCAAAAGCGCCTGTCCTCAACTGCCCTGCTCAGCTCTTGTAAACTCAACCCTGTGGCTTCCTTCAGGGAGTCAGTCCATTTCCTATTTGCTCTTCCTCTCTTCCTGCTGCCTTCCACTTTTCCCAGCATTATTGTCTTCCAGAGACCCTGCCTTCTCATGATGTGCCCAAGGAACGGACTACCGTACCCACCCCCCGAGATCATTTTGAAGGGCAGGTCAGCATAATCCCGGCAACAGTAACATCCTTACACACCTCACGTAGGTTGCCAAGCTGCCTGTGTTTTATATTATGGCACGATTCTGCCTCCTGCCAATATATGACTCAGGTTCTGCCAGGCCCCAGCACCCTCCTCTAGAAAACTACAAGAGGCATACAGATCTGGTACATGCACATCATACCCTGCCCGGTTTTGTCAAAATTCTGCTCTGTAAGTTTTTAAGAAGCTCTTAGGCTACATTCTTACCTGAGTGAACCGTCGAACCAAGCAGGTCTTCCCTACGCCGGCGTTCCCAATTAAAACTATTTTGAAGAGAAAGTCATAATCTTCCATACTCATTTACGCAGCTGCAAGGGAGAGAGAGCGAGAAGTAAAATCAGTCAAGCGGCTTTGCCTTGCTAGTGAAAGGAATATACAGTTGCCAGGGTTAAAGGATCAGAAGTAAAATGCTCTGGAGAGAGACTCGATGGCCTGATGACTTATATTTAATTACCAGCAGACTTTGCTCTTCCAGGTATTCCGGACAAAGATCACTGCCACTGGGACACCGGAAATTTCTTGTTAGGCGTATAATTCTGAATAAAGAACTCAGAACATTCCTGAATTCCTGTCCAAAAATTGCTCTTTTGGACTATATCTTGCAGAATCTTACACACACACACAATCCCCCCCAATAAGGTCACTAGTCACTGGCTGGTGGATTCAGGAAGTCCAAAAGAACTCCTGGATCTCAGGTCATGATGTCTTTCCCAGCAGCAATAATATTGATTTCCCCCCCCTCCCCCCAGCCATTACATGAATTACATGATCCAGGAAGAAATCTAGCACAGAAGCAATGCAGTGGTAAATACTGTATTGAAATGCAGATGCATTGTGATGGGCCCCTTGGCACACAGGCACCCACACACGCGCACACACAGAGAGAGAGAGAGGCTCCAGGATTACATGCAGTTGTAAACAAACCAATCCTAGCCAGCAGTCCCTCTCTAGCAGGAGCAGATCTTTTGGAAAGTGAATAGGTCTTAATTGCTCGTTCAAAGCCAAGCTACCCAAAAAATACTTTGCACAACAACAGGGGGCAGCTCACAGTCATAACAATCCTTGACAGCTGAGAAAATTCACTGATCTACTCCACCCTGGTGAGGACTGCAGCCTAGGTCAGGGGGAGCAGAGAAACTTGAGAGAGATCTTAGAATGATGCCACCACCTGTACAAATAAAAAACGTGTGCTGTTTTGTGACACAAGGAGCTTCAACTCCACAACATTACTAGTCTCAAGAGACACCCCAACATTTATGATGGCCCCCTCATATGTACCATGAGAAGATAAGGATCCTCTCCACATATTTATCAGATGGGGCTATTCCAGATCCCAGAAAGTGGGGGTATATACACATGGCTGTACAAATACAGTGGTGCCTCGCTTGACGATGTTAATTCGTGCCAGCGAAATCGCTGTAGAGCGAAAACATCGTAAAGCGAAATAAAAAAGCCCACAGAAATGCACTGAAACCCGTTCAATGCGTTCCAATGGGCTGAAAACTCACCGTCCAGCGAAGATCCCCCATAGGAGTGGCCATTTTCGGGTGCCTGTATAGCGAAAAATGCCTCCTAAAAACAGTGGCGAACCATTTTGTACACCCAGCAGCCATTCTGAAACCCGACAATCAGCTGTTTTTAGATCATCGTAATGCGACAATCGGTTCCCGAAGCAGGGAACTGATCATCGTGAAGTGGATTTTTCCCATTTAAACCATCATTTTGCGATCGCTTTTGCGATCGCAAAAACCTAATCCTCAAATGATTTCCTCGTTAAGTGAGGCAATCGTTAAGCGAGGCACCACTGTAAAATAGTCTTGATGCGGAGAAAAGCATCAATCGTATAACTGTGACAATAATGGGATCTTTAGTCCAGCCAAATAGCCTTTCACCTTGTTGGTTTCAATAGTCCTTTAAGGATACTGAATTATAGATGCTGGTGTACCCAAATTTGGGCGTTCAGTTCCCTTCGGACTGCTTTGAGGTATACGAACCCTACCAAATCTCTGTCTGTGGCTCCTGGATTTCACTCAGCTTTCTTGTCTTTAATTGCTGCCGGCCCACAGGGTGGTTGGAAGACTGCCTTTGGGTTTCCGCTTCTAAACACAGGAAGTTAATTTGATATCTTAGAATGGAAGAAGAGCAGTAGTGATGGTGACCAAAAGGTCGATTTGGCCAGCCTCCTGCTTCCTGCAGTGAGCCAGCCAAACATCTCTGGCAGAGCAAGGCAGGAAGGCAACAGGGTTCTCCTGCGTGTGCTCCCCCACAATATTATATTTAGAGGCAGACTGCTTCAGAGCTTGGAAATCAAACTACAATACTTGAACAACAACTGGCAGTACTGCCCGCGGTCCATAAGGCAACGCTTCCAAACTCTGTACTGCTTCTCCAAATGCATTTGTGCCATGTCTACTCTTCAGGGAAAATATCAAACCATCTCATGGCACCTCTAAGATTAACACATTTTGTTTAGCATAAGCCCACTTCTTTGGATACAACTGGACTACAGTCCACAAAAGCTTATAGCCAGCTGAAATGTGGCGGCCTAAAGGTGTCATGGGGTTGTTTGCTGTTTTGGCTAAAACAGACTAACAGAGCTCCTTGAAAAAAATTATTGCATATGGTTTTATTATAAAAGAACCAAAATGGGAACCATAACTGTGCCACTACATTCCAAAAAAAAAATTTATGGTACCCATCTTAAGCATCTGGCAGGGTTTCTTCACCCACCCACCCCCACTTACTTTCCTAGTAAGCTGTAGCATTCATATTTTCCTTTTTCCATTGAGGGCATATCCTTTTGACGTCCACCATGATCCTAGGATCTTTTTCTGGATTATTTGCTACTAGCTCAGCCCCAAATAATGTGTACTGGATGGAGGGACGGAGGGACAGACAGACGGACGGACGGACGGACTAGCTGAACCCCAAATAATGTGTACTGGATGGAGGGAGGGAGAGAGGGAGAGAGGATGGATGGAGGTTATTCCAATGCCCATCATTTTCCACTTGCTTCCACTGAAACGCATTTCCCACCTTACTGCCCATTTACCCAATAATATGTATCTGCTTCTATGTTTTGCAGCTTTTCATCCACTTGTATGACTTCCCTCTGTTTCAAACAACTGGGCGTTATCCACAAACCTGTCAACCTCACTACTCATTCCTGATGCCTGATCATTCATGAATAGATAGCAATGGCTACTAGTCCTCAATGTTATACGATTTGTCCAGAGCATGGGTAGAAATGGGCTATACTAGTGGTGTTTAAGAATCTTAGAATCACAGAGATGGAAGGAACACCAAGGATCATGGAATCTGACTACCATTACTCCACTAAATGTTGGAAATCCATAGCTAAAACCTCCTGCACAGTCATCAAATCTGTGTTTAAAAACATCCACACTATCACCTTGTCCAGTAATCTATTCCACTGACAAAGTGCTTGGCTGTCAGAAGTTCTTTCCAGTCTTTAACCCAGAACAATACCTTTCCTGCAATTTTAGCCCATCTAGAGCCCCATAAAACAATCTGGAACTAAACAACCTTCCAAGTGACAGTCCCTCAAATATTTGAAAATAGCTAACATCACTTCTCAATCTCTACCTCTCCAAGCTAAATATATACAGCCCCCTCAACCATTCCTCACTGGACTTGGTCTCCAGAGCCTTCACCATCTTGGCCACATTCCTCCATGTACATTACAGCTTCCCAAACATTTTCCTGGTGTCTAAAACTGGACATAATAATCTACATAAAGTCTTGCTTCTTGAAAAACACTACCCCTTTAAGAAAGAATGAGGTTTTCAAAGACAAACACGAGCTAATCAACTCCAGTAAACAAGACTGAATTACTACTGAAGAAGATGCTCATAGATATAGACTGATGTAGCAATACTCTGCATCGACAGCGACAAACAGGATACCATTGAGTGATAAATCCAAAATAGTAGGAAGGATGGATAAGCCCATAGAATCCTGAGCCTTTGAACCTTGGGCTTAATCTGCATGACATGACATGAGAGATCATAAACAGATCTGCAATGACTTAATCAACAACAAAAGCAATGAGCTCAAGATATTCTCCATAATGAGGTCCCATATTCTATCCCCTGCTAGTCAGTCCTGCAAAAGGAAACTCATTATCGTTTGCTCTTTTTTAATGTAGAAACGAATCTTTCCTGTCGTGAGTGGGTGGTCTTTCCCCTGGCAAACCACCTGGAGAAACAAACACATATGCAACACCAAAAGCACAAACAAATAAGGCCATCAACACACCAAGTTTTCCATATGCCAATTGCCTTGGTCACCCATAAACAATATCAGAACACTTCCAGCCCAAACAGTAGCTGAAACTCCTTCCCTTCACTCAACACCCTTAGCTTTGGAAGACACAAGACATGTCCTAGCAGGAGGCAGGCTTGTTTTCTGCATTACTTGATACAAATTGCAATATTGGCAATTTTTACGGCAGTGTACTTTCAAAGTACAAAGGGGTAATGCTGCATTTCCATAAATGCATGAACACATACCGAGGGCACATGCCAAGAATTAATCTGCCACAGCTCCCCTGCCACATATCCAACAAACGGGCAAGGTGCTCTCATAGATTACAATCTGCTTCTTCAGATGCATGGATTCAAGTGGACTGTAATTTATCAAAGCTGGTGGTAAAATAATACCGGGTGCATTTACGTTGACTGCCAGTCTGCTTCCAGGAAAAATTCAAGGTAGTTATGTTGATATCCAAAGCCCCTAAAAATGGTTTATGACCTTGCTATCTGTTTGGGAGCCTCTCCCTCAGAATGACCTCCCCTCCCAACCACAACTCCCAAACTGGGTTGTTATGGGGGAGCTGCTCCGAAGACGCACAAATGGGCCCCTCCCCTCCTTGACTTCAGCTAAACAGCGAAAACTTCACTGTTCACATATGGCCCTTTCTTTTTAATTTTTTTAAAATTAATTTTTCATAATATAAAAACAAATAAATACCGCTACATAACCACTTACAAATAATTCAAGTAATAAAAAAGAAAAACAACAAAAAACACAGATTTATAACATTTATCTACAATACTGTGCTCCCCTCCCCATTCGGGACTGTTTACTTTATTTACTTCTTTATTTATATTATTTCTTTATTTAAAATATTTTTATCCCACCTTTCTCCTTAAAAAGACCTATACTTGGTATCATCCAATCTCTCTCCAAAAATATAATGATTCTTCATGAGGGAAGGCTAAAAATTAGTTCCATGTTTATTTAAAATCATTACTATTCTATATTCCTGTGCTTATCTTACTTTCAC